GAAGCAAAGATTGTGCAGTGTGCCAGTATCGAGCAACACTATAAACGCAACAAGTGTTCTATTTTATAACCGATGAAGCAACCATTTACCAACGACCTGCATCCCTGACTAACTTAACGGTAACTGGCGCAAGAGAGAAGGGAAAAGGGAGGAACTGTGCAGACAATGTGTGACGAGAAAGTGCCCGCTGGATGTGCAAAGTGCAACTGTTCACACTAGCAAGTGTGCGCGAATTGCAAAATTTTTCCAAACCATCGATACCTGGTAGTACACTACCATAAACAAATTAGATTACCATTTATATAGTAATCTGTACGCAAATATCTAAGTGATACATCTTACTACATTCAATTCATATATACTACTACATATTTGTAGTTGTCTAGGTGTCACTGAAACAGACTACGAACTCATCGTAATTGCGCATTTAAGTGCAGATACATGTCCGTTTTACTTTACTGCCCATATGACATTCTGTTTCGATGATAATCACAAATATTTCAGCAGTAATGAATACAGTGCAGTGCACAGCGTATTTTATATGTATTTGCGTCAAACCAAAAAATGATTTACATAACAGGAGCAGGTCAGGGGCGTAAATTCAATCACTCTGAGGTTCATGGCATTACGGCAATACAGCCATGTTTCCAGATGCCGAAGTTGTCACGTCAGCAAGCCAAGGTTCTACGAAAACGGTACTACATTCTTTTCACCTGGTTTGGAGAAATAATGCACCTATTAACGTAGTACGACGTTTGAAAAAAGATTTCGAATTATGTAAGCATACAGCAAGAACTTCAGTAACACGGTCAGGAGCAATATAACTGTACAGTATTAAATAATTAATGAATGCCAAAAGGTTTTAAGATTTAAACATATTCTAATGCTGTTATTAAGCCAAAAACAAGTAGCTATTCATACCACTGCCATTTCGTCCTTGTCCAGAAGTCCATCTCTGTCCATGTCGCTCAGCTCCCAAATCTTAATTTTTAGACAGACACATCACATCTTGACAAAAAGTAAAGTCAACACGTACCTTTCCCAATGTTCTAGTTGGCAGACCGGAATTAAATAGAACCGGTTTTACCTGTTCACCGCTCAGTTTCCCGTTGATTGGCATCAATGTCTCAAATATTTCGTCATACTTTAGGCGTTCTTCTGGCTAAAAACGACGACTACACATAATCTGCAAAACAAGAATCACCAATCAAGAGAAAAAATAAATCATAATTAAAGCACATAATATTCGTAATAAACCTAATGTGTGTATATTATGTGCCATCTGAACATACTATATATATTATGACACAGTTAATAGTAATTATAGTATACTTGGCACTACAAAATATGCTATATCATACATCTTTAGCGGTTTATTTTTATTAAATGACAACAAAATTTTTCAGAGAAAAAACATCCAGCTGAGTTGCTCAGTAAGTATTACGCAGACTTTCTTCGTTCAAATGTTCAGTGACAATTATGTCTATATGTCTAGTATAGTTTTCAATCGCAGTTGGCGTCCAGCAAAGGTATTTTGAAGACATCACATATGTATATAATAAGCAAAGTACACTGTTGTATACCGTGTACTAATATGGTCCACATTTTCAACAAAACCGGTTTTAGGTGCAATACAGATTTTATCCTTCATTCGACATTTTCAGCTTTCAGAAAAGAAACCATTAGCAGAATAGGTCTAATAAACAATAGATATTAAAGTAAATATAGATATATAAATTAATTTTTACTGTAACACTATTGCTTGTGAATTAATCTGATGGCGGCTTCCGTGTCAAAAGTTGAAACTTCGGTACAAGGTTGAGACTCTGCTTTATGTTTTATGCCTAAAACCATGTTGTTTGGCTAAATACTAATTTGTTGAAAACGAGGACACTTTAGCTACATTATCCTCCTGTCATTTCTAACTTTAACAGAGAGTAGCGCTCGT